AGTCCCTAGTGGAACAGAGAGCTTCAGCAGCACGTCACTATTTCACCCTCTTCCCTCCAGTCAGCTTAAACTGGCTCCACGGCTGCCCACAAGCTTTCATTTCTTCCTCACACCATCTCCTCCATGTCACCTTCACCTCGGACGCCCAACTCGTCGTTTCCCCTTTGGATTCCATTCGAGGGCCTGACCTGGCACGCGGTGTCCCCAGTCGGTCTTCTCACTGTATGTCAAATCCATTCCATCTCCACTTTCTTCTGCATATTTGTTGGGCGATGGGTTCTTGGTTGGTTTGTTGCAAGCCAGCCAGCCAGCCAGCCAGCCAGCCAGCCAGCCAGCCAGCCAGCCAGCCAGCCAGCCAGCCAGCCAGCCAGCCAGCCAGCCAGCCAGCCAGCCAGCCAGCCAGCCAGCCAGCCAGCCAGACAGACAGACAGACAGACAGACAGCCAGAGCTTCTTGTTGCTTACTCTGATTATTCGGACCATCTAGTCTTCAGCAACCAGCGTAGGCGGCAGCTGTTGATGAATGCTCGTACTTTGTTGTAAATGCTTTCCGTGACGCGACAAGTTTCCGAACCATCGCATAGAAGCACTGACTTGATGTTAATGTTGAAAATCCGCATCTTTTTGACGCTTTATTCTGAATGGAGTGAAGTAGATCTTCACACTGGTTTCAGATTAATGAAAGCCTGTCTTGCTGTCTTTCCGATCCTGGATTTGACTTCCTCATCTGTACAGCATCTTGTGGTAGTTGAAACGATGCTGCCTGCCTAGGTAGGTGAAAGAGACTACTTCCTTTAGGTTTCTCCCGTTCATGATGATTGGTGCTTGTTGCTGATGTTGTTGTTGATTGATTATCTTCATCACCTCTGTGTTCTCTGCCTTCACCTGAAGGAAGTCCCGTATTCGCTGCCCTACCTCTTCTGTCAACTTGTTGCATTTTGCCTGTAGATCTTCGAGTTTGTGCGACGAGATATTAGACATAAATCATCATCGGGGAAATCAAAATCTACGGTTTTTTCATCAGTCAAGCCAGCTTATGCCGCTATTCTCGCTCCTCACACTTTTCTGTTGCATGACCCAATCCACTCCAGTCCAGTCGACAACAATCAGGAAGATCATCGGTGAGAGTAGGCGGCAGCTTTGTCTTACTCCTTCCTGTTTTCAATTCAAAGGCGCCACTTACCTTTCTATTGTGAATAACTTGCCATGTACCATCATATAGAACATAGCTGTTGAATGAGGTTGATGAAGGTTTATGGCACTAAGACCGTAAGTGTCGAAGCACCTGCCAAATCACTTCCCGGTCGACGATGTCGAAGACCTTTTCAAAATCGATGAAAATGAGGTGGAGTGTTGACTGACATTCTATACTTTGTTCTATGATGATGCATAGCATAGCGTTGCAATTTGATCCGCACATGATTTTTACTTTCTGAATTCAGCCAGCCTGTTCCGGTCGTAATTTTGAATCAAGTGCATCCTTTAGTCTCTCCAAGATGATGCAGCTTAATATTTTGCTTTGGGTGGACAGGAGTGGGGCATGATTCCCCACCAGTTCCTGCAAAGACTTAGGTCTCCCTTCTTTGGAAGTTTGACAAGGTAGCCCTTCTTCCAATCGACAGGTACCTTTCCTTCCTGCCTTCCTACCAAACCTATTGTAATACTGGTGTGAGTGTATCCGCTGTTGTCGCTGCATCTGTTTTCAGTGCTTCTGGAGGAATTCCATCTGGTCCCGGTGCAGACTGGATTTCAGTAACTTTATGGCGTTGAGGGCTTGACTTCTGCTTTTGTCGGGGGCCTGTGTTCACTGACAGTTCTGTGGTTAGTCTGCTGGTGGTATATCCAGAAAAGTTGGAGATGGTGGTGGTCGATTCAAGAGTTTTTTGAAGAGGTCAGTTCATCGTTTCCTTTATTTCTCCCCTTTGGCAGTGACTAAGTTCCCTTCACTATCTCGCATCGGTCTTATCTGCGTTGATCTATTCCCTCCCAGATAGTGACCTGGTTATTTGATATAATGTTGTCAGGTCTCTGTCTCTCCTACCTGCAGCCTGTTCTGCTTCACTTGCCAGTGTGTCTTAGAAGTGTCTTTTGTCTTTGCGCGCACTCTTCTTCACTTCTTTGTCCAGTGTAGTGTTTTGTAGGTTGTGTTCAGCTCTTCTTTTCGTTGTTCATCCCTGCCCTGCACTGCACTGCACTGGTTCACCTTCTGTTTCACCACCTTCCCCTCCCCTTCTCTATCGGCTTCCACGTGTCCGTTGAGATTCATTCCTTGTCTTCCTTCTTCTTCTTCCTTCCCAATACGGTTATGCAGGTTACCTTCCATATCTCTTTCAAAGAGTTCCAGTATTCTTTCACATAGGTTTCTTCAGAAGTGTTGCTCAATATCTCCCATTTTGTCCTGAGGACTGACGTGAAGATATCCTTTGTAGTTTCGTCCTTCACTTTCTGGTCTGCATGTTGAACTTGAACTCTAGTCTACCACCAACTTCTTTGAAGGCTTTCAACTTGATTTAAAAGGCACATTCCTTCCACTAGATAGTGAGCGATGTGAAACTACATCTGCTTCCCTTCTTCATCTGATCTGGTCTTGTGTCCAGTAGGCTAGCTGTGTCTCCACTTCCTTCACACTGAGATCAAGTCGATCTGATTTGTAGTGTAGTGTGTCCGTCTGGTGAAATCAAATCCACATCGCTCGCTGCCTTGTGAATATCCTTGTGTTTGTACACACTACCCCCAATCACCAAATCGTTGAATGCAAAGAAGTCTCCAAACAGTTTTCCATTCTCGTTCATCATTTCACCGAGTACTTCTCGACCCAATGTGGATGAGTTCTCTACCTGTGCGGTCCACTACCAGTTTCGCATTCATGTCACCCACCCCATGAGAATGGATTTTGATGTCACCAACTGGGGTGGGGTCTTGTCCATTACTGATTGTAGCTGTCTGTAGAATTCCTCCTTCTTCTCTTGATCCGCATTATTTGTAGGCATGTGGCATTGTATGATTATGACTTCTCTTCCTTTTAAGTTGGACCTTGGTGTCATGATCCTGATTCTGCACGGATACAAAAGGCTCGATTGGCTTTTGCCAATTTGCGCCACCTATGGCGCCGCCGTGATATTCGTTTGTCTATTAAGGGTCGCGTGTACTGCACAGCAGTCCGCTCTGTTCTACTGTATGGCTGTGAAACATGGCCATTGAAAGTGGAAGACATGAGAAGGTTACAGGTATTTGACCACCGTTGCCTTCGTAGTATAGGACGTATTCCGTGGTGTCACCATGTGAGTAATGCAGAAGTTAGGTGTAGAGTTTTAGGGAGAAGAGGTAAGTCAGTCGACGAGGTTGTGAACCTTCATCGACTGAGATGGTTGGGACACGTACTACGTATGCCTAGTCACCGATTGCCTCGTCACACAATGTTGGCTGAGATGGGTTCAGGCTGGAAAAAGGCCCGAGGTGGCCAGACTAAAACATGGCACCAATGTATGAAGTCTCTGACTGTTGGTTTAAGCCATGTAGGACGATGCAGACTAGCCGGTTGGGGTCCACGGGACAAGAGGAACCAGTGGTTGGAGACCCTAGGTGATATGGCTCAGAACCGAAGTCAGTGGCGCAGATGTATACACACATTATCCTCATCTTAACAACGCTATACCGAATCTCACTATTTTGTCACTCCTCTTTCCTTTCTTCTCATACTTTATATTTCTTTTGACTGCATTCACTTATCTTCATCCTTCACCTCACTACCTTTTTACTTGATGTGCTGATATGAGGTGTGGCAACTCGGACCGTTACGCAGTAATGCCTGGTCCTATGTTGATAATGATGATGATCCTGGAGGAGACTGGCTCCCACGGCATGAACGCCTTCGGTGCTCTTGAGGACATCATGGTAGCCACTCCGAAACTCAGTGTGCGCGTGCTAGTCGTCTGGATGACAACATTGGAGTAGATTATTGACTTTCCAGTTGACAGTTATGAGAGTCCACTTCCATCCTACCTGCAGATTCCTAGCACACCTATGCTATACCTTCTCATCTTGTTTGCAATCTGTGCAGCCTTGCTAGGTCCACACATGGTGCGGACATTCCATGTCCCCATGTTTGCTTTTGGTTTCATCCAAAGAGAGAAGACATATCGGCCGATTGGCTTCCAGAAGGCTTTCACCAACCGGCGTCTTTTCGCCTCTCCAATTCACGTGAGGAATAAGTTTATTTTATTTTTTGTATTTTCTTTGTGCTCTGAAGTTTCCTTAGCGACTGGATTGGTTTTCCGTGGTAGGGTTGCTATCTCTATGCTCAACCTTCGCTGTTTATCCAGGCCTAGGACCGGCTAGTAACTAGTGAACTAGTTACCTTGGCAAGGTTATGCAAAGCATGAGACAATAAAGAAGAGAACTTAAGCTACTAGAAAGGTTAAACACATTATTAAACAACGGAAAGCTGTGAATAAGTCTAGTATGTAGTGAGAAGATAAAGACTACGTAAGAACTAAAATGATATTATACTTTGCCATAGTGCCAAAATTCTATTTATATATAATGACAGGCTAACTTCAAGATTGTGAGGTATGCAAGTCCATCAGTATAACAAATATCATATCGGATAGTCATAGTAAACGAAAATAACGCAATACAGCAATATTGCAGTCTTATGCACATGGGTATGAGCCAAACTTGATATTTGAACATTTGTCTTATAACTTTAGTAGCATGGTATCTAAGTCAATAATCCACAGGTTCATAGTTATATATTATGATATTGTGTAGTAGCATAGAAATCTAGTTGTTTATTTAATACGGCTATATGTACCACTTAATAAGATGACTTCCCTCATGAATAGGGCACAAAAATCAACTTAGGAGTTTTAATTTAGTATGGGAAAAGTTAGGCATTCATTATAATTATTGGAGAATTAACTGCATAGACAGGATAGAGCAAACAACATAAAAGAGAACTAAAGAAAATACAAATAAAATAAAGTACCTCACGTCGCTTACCTTGACCAGATTTAGCCATTTCCAAAGTAATTTTAATTGTATAATCACAAGCATTATTTGCAGCTACAGCTGCTGGTTCATACCAGAATGGTGCTGGTGAACGATAGGCTGTAGGGGGTATAGCCAACTGATGAGATATACTATCACCGGTTTTCAATTCAGAATAACTTTCAACTTTAGATTTAATTTCATCAGATGGAATATGATGGATATATGAGGAACTTTTAGATTTATGTACATTTTCATTTTGAAATGAATTTAATCCAGAGAGTTGTGTAATTTCATATTTCGTGGTTGTTAATTCATTACTAGTACTATCTTCAGTAGATTGTTCATCAGAATGAATTTCATGAGAACTGTACTCTTGACAATTGGATACTTCCAAAGATGATTCGTTATCAAAAGCTGACATATTTTCCAATGACATAACCGAGACCATATTATGAATCACTGGTGTATTCACCTCTTGAATATGCATATATAGATATAAACAAAATCACATAACGTTCTAATTGGTGACAGGTTGTTTCAAAACATATTTATCTTCGTAATTTGATTGGATTATAAGAAACTGTAATGAAAATAATACAAGTTTTAAAATATGCAAAAATGTATGTGCATTACACAAAACAGAACTTATTAAATATAAGAAAAGCAGTTTCATACACCCAATAATCACTGTGGCTGAAAAAGTAATAGTATTTCAAGGTTACTTGTATAAAAGTAGTAAGCTCTGAGTAACTTCTAGTGGTTGCAAATTTCTGATGAATTTTTGCCGATATAAAGGTGAAGATCAGTGCCAAAACTCAGTGTAATGCATAAACATACTTTTCCTTGTGTAATAATGTTTTGCCTTCAGAATTTTAATGCGAAATTCTTTTCTGGAACATGAAGTACTGAATCTATTTAACCAACTTTGACACCTGGTAAGTGATGAAATGCAAATGAATAGCTAAGTAAAGATTAAGCTAGGTAAAGGTTAAACTAGACTATGCGGCATATCTTTTGTGTAAGGGTTAGTGAGACTGCTTGATTGTTCGAACCCCGATGAGTTGAGAGTTAAGTATCTGATAGAAGTTACAACTCCGGTTAATACAAACATCCATGCTAAAAAAATTTGGATCCCATGATTTTTGACACAAGATTTACATAAACGAAATGAATGAATTTTAGGCTATGACCAAGTTACTTAGATATTCAGAATTCAACTGATAAGTTGGCCAAGAAGATATGAGCGGCCAGATCTTTCCCTTGACTTTTGGACACTAGGAGTGTGATTAGTAAGTAATCTATGTATGATTGTAAAGTTGCGTTATGAACTTCGTTAGTAAGAGAAGCTCAGTGTCAATATCTGATATATTTTTGGAAATACATACCAAGTTACACTGAATCTGAGTCAAGATGATGACAGTTAGGAGAACTGGGGATCCTTTTGTGAAATTATTTTCTTAGGCGACTCATTCGTACACAAAAGAACACATTTCTGGCACCGCACAATATATCAGCTGTCATACATCGCATTGCTTTAATGTAAATAAAGTCACCAGCGTTTAGAAGCAATAATTAGAGACTATAATTTGCAAAAATCCAACATGAAAATTGTTTCGGGAAATATGACGTTTCTTAAAGTTGAATGTTCTTGCTAGTCTTAAGGTTCATTCTTAATTATGGACAGAATGTAACCTCTATATCCAATTATATGATATAATAATGACTTGCATAACTCTGACTTAAGTTACCATGACAAATGCAAACAGCATTTAAAATAGACTTTACAGATGCACATAAAATAAGTTCATGGGAGAGCTTATTCGCAGTAAATATGGTTTCTATGGCTTTTGGAACACAAAGCGTATGCTTGGATCAGATAGACAGCCAACAATAGTTACACCTACAGTAACTACTAAGTAGCTAAAGAATCTCTACGAAACGCAAGAATTAGTTGACCAAAAGAACGCATAAAAACGCAGAATGTAGTTCGAAACTGATTCTTTGACCACTTACATCTCACAGATACGTATTGCTCTATATTTAGGTATTTATGGAATTCTCTTGCTCTGAGAGACTAGAAACTGAAACGTATGTACCTATAGGATCTTTACATCAAGGAATATGATTAGTGTGGAGGCACCAATCGGTTGGTGCTTTTCAAAACTTCACGAAAATCTGATCCCTACATCCAAGGCATGCTTGGAACTGCTATTGTTCGTCTTTTCTCTTGTATCGCTCTACAACACTAGCTGGGTATGGACAAATAAATAACTATACTCGCAGTTTTCTTACGCATATCTTATGAAAACAACACAGATCCGCACAACACTACAGTGAGGCCTGACGTTAAATTTAATACAGGGTTTCGAAGTTCAAAGTCCTAATTTGCAGTTTACCTAGGCTATAAAACGTACTATTCGAGAAGGGTAGTAGAGTAGAAATTAGTTTAGAAAAACGTGAGTGCTTTGGTCCATGGGAAAGATAATGATGATAAAGTAAGGAACAAACATTAGTGGGGTTGTGTGCTTCATTACTCCTAGATATTCAAATAAAGTCAGTGTTGTACAGTTTCGAGTTCCAAGGGGTATCTGTTTGAAACTGTTTATTTACTTTTTAGAAGTGTTGGCACCTATAATGTTCATTCCCTAAGATACTTTATATCCAGTAACAGAGAGACCCATGAGGTATGGCGAAATGGGTAGCTTTTTAGATTGAATTCTAGTAACTTATTTTAGAATGGGAAGGCAGCATCACCAATACTTCTGGGAGTCCATGGGGAACGTCCTATTGTTACTTCTTGCTTAGACAGTAATGAGACTACTTCGGTCCCGGGACCTATGTGATCAAAAGTTGTAGAAAGTCAAATAAAGATAAGAAGAGGAGATAACGCAAATGACGAAGTGTGATATAACAGTAAGGATGAAGATAAGGGCATGTTTGCACCACTAAGGCCGATTCTGAGTCATACCATCTGGTCTCCAGTTATCAGTTTGGGTTATCACATGAATACCATCCAGGAAGTTCATAATTTTCTACACGGCTTAGATCAACAGTTAAGAACTTCGATGACTGATGCCACATTTTATTCTGACCAGTTCGAACAAATATCAAAATAATCACTGCCTGACACCAGTATGATAACAAAGAATTTTTACAATACGCGGAAAACAATAACTAATGACTAAGAGCATATATATTAATATATTGTTCTTGTTTTGCTAACTCAAGTTTCAATGATTTTAGTTATAAACTACAATTTGGTATCACTAAGCGATTGTTACAGAAAGAGATATGTACGGGATAGTGATTGAAATTGAGAGATAAAATGAACTGAAGCCTTTCAGGATACTAATCTTGATTTTTATGGATTGCGAGAATGCGGTACACACATTTAGGTGGTCGAAATTCAGTCACGGGATCAGGAGTGGAAACTTCAAAACTCACCTACTGAGATACAAACTAAGCGATGTCATAGAATTGCTTGTTATTTAGTATTGCGCTTTGACATCCTCGTGAATAACTGTGTCAGGATTATCAACTTCAATCATCATTGTAATGTATACGAAGATCAGTCTGGTAAACAAGACTTACAAATATTCAAACTAACAATGTAAAAAATGACTTGAAGAATTAGTAGAGTAATGATAGATACAACTAACAAGTAAAAGACATATCAACAACATTAAGGTAAATTTCAGAGAACTAGTGAGTAAAATGATAACCAATATTGTTTAGTAGAATTGTATTTACAAAGGTCAATGTTTCACAGAAACGTTTTTATACACTCTTATCAACATCACATTAGTTAGTCGTCTTTATGAGTAAATTGATCAGAAATCAATTCAGGAAGCTGCAATAATACTTAGGGGCTCTTGTAGGTTCTGTACTAACGCGTTCATTTTAGCTCGTAACATTCCCAAACCAACATCCTTTGAAGCATGAAGACAAAGAAGAACAGAAGCTACACGTGTAATGATTAGTCTACCTTCAGACAATTCTAAAATTATTTCTTGTACGGTATCCTAAAAGGAGGGAAAAAAAAGCAAATATGATCATGTAATTAATTTCTTAAATTGCACTGAACGAAACGATAGTTAACTACATAACTTAAAATGCTTCAAATGTGGTTTAAATTATTCTGATTTTAGCTGTTTATGAATAGAATGATTATGCTTAGGAAGTTACTGCCGAAATCCTGTAGAATCAAATAAATAACACAACATTGAGATATGTACCCTCTGGGACAAGTGTCAAGTAATGAGTTATGCATATGAATGTAACAGCTACAAGACGGAAGAGTACATACAGAACACGAACATCACCGAAAGGTTTAAAAGTAATCTCTTACATTCGCATACAATCATTCTTAGGAATCTCAGTGAATAGATCAATGATACGACATAAAAATGAGTTTTTGTGTTTAGTATCATGTTGCAGCATTCATGAATCAGTACGTAAGATAAACTCTAAGAAAAAAAACTGTGTAACGCCCAATATATGATATCATCGACAGAACATCAACAAGTAGAACCTATATATGATTATACACTTTCCCATCAATTGTAAGAAACATCAAACAAACTTCAGAGTATTCTTGCATAGTTGGAAAACAAAATCAAATAACCCAGAGTTCGCTTTAATTTGTCGTATCAGTCAACGGGGGAGTAAAAGTAAATCCAATGGATGAAAAGTAATTCCAGATCTAAGCCAATGTATGTACACTGCTGAGACTTTTGACAGTAAATGAAATGTCGGGAAAGTATATTACGCGTTGGAATTTCCTGACGTTAGTGATCTAAAAAATTCTTATCGGATATCACTCTGATGTTACTTCTGAGTGGTAGGTCAGACTCTGTGATTGCAAAAGATACACAATCTTACTGATATACCAAACCTAACTGACCAAGCTAGTGATGTTTTTGGTTGCACATACCTCTACTCTACTTCCATGCTCTTCTTTCAGATTTTTATGAGCTTCTGAGACATTATATCCAATAAGTACTTTGATTTCCATTTCCAGCAAATTCAGAAATATATCGGATAGATGGGATATAATAACGAGTAATTCGTCCGTAGGCAGCAACGTAGTTTTGAGACTACAGTGTGTTGTGGTTAGCGTGGTTCTAACCACTTACTTAGGGGTCAAAAACTACGCGCGATAGTAACCTATAGTATAACTATGATCCTGAAGAGCTAACTGCACTAATATGTAATTTCATAAACGCTTGCTTTACCCCTAAGGATTCAGCAAGGGTTGGTATCAGGACCGTTAACCAAGAGAATGTCTCCTTGGTCCTAATCTTTATTAAACTAAATTTATTAGACATAATCTTACAGTTCTTCGTTATCTGACTATAAGGTTAACTTGGACCATGGTCAAATCATCTTCAGCGCTTAACAAGAGACGATGACTGTTGTTTGTACTATTGGTAGGAATAACCGAAATCCAATTTACGACTGTTTAACGTAGGAAGTTCACTGAGGCGGACAAAGGATAGTCACCTTTTAGATAACTCAAGTGAGAGTAAACTAGACAGTGTGAAAAAATTTGTGCATTTTTACAATTTGTGCGGTTCGAAGAATAAAAAAAAATTTATTTTACACAAGCCTGACTGGTTTCGATAACTACTGACATTTCACGGGCAATCTTTTTCACGACCGGACGCCCAGTATATTATATCTAAAAACAAACCTACTCATTGGCTTTCATCATACCCGAAAGACCTCGAGGTATTTGATATCGATGCCTTCATTCTCCATGAAAAAAACTCTTCTTTAACTACTTCCTTTGTAACCGTGTAGACAAACATCTAGTTTCTATATCAATAACGGGGATTTAATTCACTTCACTAGTGTGGTTTAGTAACCATATTACGTTTCTGAAGATGAACAGATTATCTGGACAACCTGCCAATTCTTTAGCATTATGGTTAGTTCATAGATCGTTTCCCATACTTTTACATATAACGGAAGGTCATTTGAACCACAGCCGTAAGATATGTATAGACTACTGGTAGCTATGATTAAGTAGTCAAAATCGCTTAGAAATAATACATGCCCCATCTCCATTGGGTACAAGTGGGATTGATCTTTACTACTTTGTGTAATTATCGACACCTTACCCATAATTCAGGTTACTAGTAAAAGACATACAAGAATAAACTTTACACATGTTAACTTTGATACATTACGGTTGTCACTCCTCGTGATCAAGGTTTTCGATTTTAAACGGGTGCATCATAGAGGTTAAGTTTCATACAATTGGTACGATTCACAGCTTGATATACAGGGACCCATATGTACCTGGTGAACTGAAGTTTATTTTTATCTAAAGCTAGCGTATTTCAAATTATTCTGTACTCGTAAACCATTTTCGCCACTTTACACTTACAGAAGGAAGTTACCACAGTAATTCGATTCCTTAGTTACAATACGTATAACATGGATAACTGTCAGGATCATAAGGCTTAATAAACGCGGAGAACTCCCTAACCCTAAAGTGGTAGTACAAAATTGGGAATAACCTTAGCGTAAAGACAACTAAGTGGTTTTATTGAAATGTCTAATAATAGTAATAATAATAATGACCATATTCTGAAAGATATTTCGGCAATACTGTGCAGAATTTTCAGCAAGTCACAGAGCATCAATTGTACAGAAACGTTTTATATACACACTATAAAATGAAGTATGTGGAAATTATATATATAAAAGATAAGCATATTAACTCAGTCTACAACTTTTTTGAAAATGCAGAGTCAAACAGTCACACTAATGATTAGATTCACAATACAAAGATAAAATCGAGCTGTGTAATCTTTAATTGGTTTGATTTAATAAACAAAAGCCAACTAATTAGTTTATTTTTAACACTTTCTTTGTCGTACAGAGTACCAGTTAAATCAGGTTTGGTAGAGATTTTTATAACCAGTAGTTCGCGCACAAAGTATCATACACTTGCTCCTGGTCTTTCTTGAGGACCGATAGCCAAAAAGCTTTGAGGTAAGAGGATGCCGGTCATATGATAAAATAACTTCTACGAGATGTTTACTTGAGTTAAGATGTTTGTCCATAACTGTTTTGACTAGAAGGTTTAGAGATACGTCACTAGTTCTGCTGACAATCTTCAAAGGTCTACACAAAATAGCGTAAGTTTTTTTCAACAACCCAGGAAAGAATAAAGGGGGAAATTGGAGGAGAATAGGTAGGATGGAAAAGTCTAAAAAAAATAAGAGAAAAGGCTGAGTTATACCAGATACTCTTAGCTTCCTAATATAGGGAGTTAGGCAGAAAATTCTTCCGGAAATTAGTAAGATACGGGAGGACTAGAAGAGGTCCGAAGAAATACACATGGCGAGATAAGGCGCACTCGTAACATTTTACTGTACAACCATCAATAGAACAGGAATCATAGACCTGAGTAGTTTACATACGTTATGTTGACGTCTGACACTAAAGTTTATAGTTTGACATCTTGAAGCATAAGACCATTTACGAAGGATCATCGCCTAACAGTAGATAAGACATTGTTCAGTTGGAAAGAATCTATTGGAGAGGAGACAGGTATAGAAACTGTCAGATCATTAGCATATTTAATAAGACTGAAACCAGCTGAAGATGGCAATTCATACAGAAAGGAAGAGGAAAGGTCGGTGAAAGAAGGGCAGTTCATGGAACACCAGCCTCAGTAAGTAATGAGGTGGGACGCTTGGATCTGTGAAAAGTATATTGTTTTTTAAGAGAAAAAGGAATATAATCAGTTGATCATCGACGACTCAGTATGTATCCCGGCTACCTTGTTCAGTAAAAGAGGTTTGCGGACAAAATCAAATGCTGTAATCTAAAAAGGCACATCTGACACTTCAATTGAGATTAAAAGCGGTATTATGATATACGACTGGTGGTATCCAGGGTACTTCTTTCGTTTTTCTATGCAAACTGTTTAGAATTTCCAAAAACCTTCAATGAAGGTTCGATCACAGATATTATTAGCCTCTCTCACTATTTTCAAGAACAAAGAAGCAACTGCAATTTGACGAAATTTCTAGCATGCACTTAGATAGGGGAACTATCTTAATATCTTTCCAGAAAGTTGGTAAGGTACTTTCTAAAAACGATTTATCAAACATGTTAGTTAGTAGATGGTTCAATATATCAGCACATTTCATGAACATGAAATATGACATGCCATCTGAACCTAAACTATGTGAAGAGTTCAGGGATTGGAGACTCTTGAAAACATCTTTCTCAGTGAATTTTAGACATTTTTCATTGGAAATGGGTGGACAGGATGCAATGGGACTGTTGGGTTGGTGAATAAATGATTTGTTTGAGGTACGGACATCAATGCATGCTTCTTTACTACCAGTGAGGTCTACAAAAAGTTTCTACGTCCTGGAAGACCCTTTGCCTGGCAAAAGGTTTCGGTTACATAGTAGAGTCAGAAGTTTAATCACTTAACAAAAGTATGCCCATCTCTCGCCTGAAAGTAATATAACTGTTAAACGCAATATACTACTGAATGACATGAGTATGCCTAGACAAGCCACATAGATCAGCATTACTAGCCAGTCAGATCAAAGTGACCTTAATACCAGATGGCTGTTTTGCTAGTTTGAGGACTCAGATCATTAGCAATGTATCCGGGTTGACTCTGCTTAGAGTCGCATTGTTCAAACTACGCGGACTTTCAAAAACGCCTAACTTGATTCCATATCACTGCTATTTTTTCTTGTGTTTAGCACCTCTGAATGCAATTTCATATATTAAACTGTGAACTGTAACTTGTGTTCAACATTACAGTACTATGCACTTATGCAGATGGAGGTTAAGTGTCGTATATCATTAAATGAGTACTAACTATTTTGCCAACTGAGAAACAGTTCACGTGAATATTGTGAATTTTAGAGTAACTCCTCAAGTCGTGATAGCCAACTATTTCTCGTGCACGTCCGTAAACAAACGCAGTCGCGCTACATGAAAAGCAACACTGCAGCCGTGACGAAAACTGATAAACTACGAA